TAATTGCAGTGAGGGTGATATGCTTTCTATTTCAACGACACAATTGACGGATGCTTGGATTCTTGATTCTAGATGTTCTTATCACATCACGCCAAATAGGGAATGGTTTTCGACATACAGGCCGGTTAATTCTGGTTCGGTTTATTTGGGTGATGATCGATGTTGCAATATTGTTGGTATTGGTGATGTCAGAATTAAGATGCACGATGGCTCCATTCGGACGTTGAGTGGTGTTCGACATATCCCAGACTTGAAGAAGAATTTGATTTCCTTGGGCACTTTGCACAAGAATGGTTTTATCCCTAAGGCTGACGAGGATAGGGAAACCATTCGGATTGTTAAAGGAGCATTGACTGTGATGAAAGGCAAGATGACTGCAGGGAATATCTACAGATTGTTAGGGAGTACCGTTGCAGGTGGAGTTCACTCTGTTGAGTCCTGTGATGATACGACAAAATTGTGGCATATGCGCCTTGCTCATCTTAGTGAACGTGGTATGGCAGAATTACACAAGAGAAACTTGTTGCATGGTGTCAAAAGCTGTAAGCTCGATTTTTGCAAGTATTGTGTTCTTGGTAAACAGACTAAAGTCCGTTTCAAGACTGCGAAGCACACAACTCAAGGGATTCTTGATTATGTGCATTCTGATGTATGGGGCCTTCCATGACATCGTCTTTGGGTGGATCTAGGTACTATGTTACTTTTATTGATGATTTTTCACGGAAAGTTTGGGTGTATTTTTTGAAACAGAAATCTGAAGTTTTTGAGAAGTTCAAGCTGTGGAAAGCTGAGGTAGAAAACCAAACAGGACGAAAAATCAAGTGTTTGCGGTCTGACAATGGTACGGAGTACACAGATTCACAGTTCCTACAATTCTGTAAGGAGCATGGGATTCAGAGGCATTTTACAGTACGCAAGACACCACAACAGAATGGTGTTGCGGAACGAATGAACAGGTCGTTGAATGAAAGAGCCAGATGTTTGCGGTTGAATGCGGGGCTTCCCAAACACTTCTGGGCTGAGGCTGTTAACATGGCGTGTTACCTTATCAACAGATCGCCAAGGGCATCGCTGGCTGGGAAAGTTGCAGAAGAGGTATGGACTGGTCATGATGTTAGTTTTGATAACTTACGGATTTTTGGTTGTCCTGCTTATGTGCATGTACCTGCTGATGAGATATCCAAACTTGATGCAAAATCGAAGGAGTGCATTTTTCTGGGTTACAAGAAAGGTGTCAAAGGATTCAAGTTCTGGGATCCAGTTGCGAAGAAGTTGTGATTAGTAGAGATGTCGTTTTGATGAACAGTCTATGTTGCAGCAGAAGCAAGACACGACAGTGGTAGATTTCGAGCAGTTTCCAGTTGAGAAACCAGAAACTTCTCAACCGACTTCTGGTGGTTCCACTACGGATGATTTGCAGGATTATAGTCTCGCCAGAGACAGGGTGAGACGGACGAATATAAAGCCTCCGAACAGATTGGGTTTTGAAGACTTGGTATCTTTTGCACTTACTGTTAGCAGTGATGATCCCGTTACTTTTCATGATGCCGTTACTAGTCAGGAAAACGACAAGTGGATGGCAGCCATGGTTGAGGAGATGGAGTCTTTGAATCACAATCGCACATGGGAGTTAGTTCCCCTTCCTGAGGGTAAGAAGCCGATTGGTTGCAAATGGGTGTATAAGAAGAAACCAGCAGTAACAGAAAAAGAGGGGGAGAAGTTCAAGGCTCGTTTGGTAGCGAAGGGTTTTTCACAGCAGAAAGGAGTTGATTATGATGAAATCTTTTCTCCTGTGGTCAGGCACACTTCAATCCGAGCAGTACTTGCATTGGTGGCTAGTTGGGATTTGCATTTAGAGCATATGGATGTTAAAACTGTTTTTTTGCATGGTGATTTAGAGGAGCAGATCTACATGCGGCAACCTGAAGGTTTCACTCAACCTGGAAACGAGCATTTAGTTTGCAGATTGAAGAAATCTTTGTACGGGTTAAAACAGTCTCCGAGACAGTGGTATAAACGGTTTGACTCCTATATGATCAAGATTGGCTACAACCGATGTGAGTATGATTGTTGTGTCTATGTTAAGAACCTTGATGATGGTTCTTTTATTTTTCTATTACTGTATGTTGATGATATGTTGATTGCTGCGAAGAACATGGATGATGTTATCGGTTTGAAAACTTTATTGAGTCAGGAATTTGATATGAAAGATTTAGGTGCTGCAAAGAAAATTCTTGGAATGGAAATTTGCAGGGACAGAGACTCAAGGAAACTGCGGCTATCTCAACGGGGTTATGTTGAGAAAATGCTAGAAAGGTTTGCGATGAGCAGCGCGAAACCAGTTAGCACTCCATTGGCGAATCACTTTAAGCTCTCATCAGAACAGTGCCCTAAGACAGATAAGGAAGCTGAAAATATGGCAAAGGTTCCGTATTCTAATGCTGTTGGCTGCTTGATGTATGCGATGGTATGTACTCGTCCTGATTTAGCTCATGCTGTTAGTCAAGTTTGTAAGTACATGTCTAAACCTGGTAAGCAACATTGGGATGCAGTCAAGTGGATCTTTCGGTACTTAAAGGGTACTGTGGGACATGGAATTGTTTTTGGGAGTCAGCGGGATAATCCTTTGGTTGTAGGATATGTGGATTCAGACTATGCAGGTGACTTGGATAATAGAAGATCTACGACAGGGTATGTCTTTACTCTTGGTGGAGGGCCTATTTGTTGGAAGTCTATTGTGGCTCTATCTACAACTAAAGCTGAGTACATGGCAGCGGCTGAAGCTGCAAAAGAAGCTTTATGGCTTACTGGTTTAGTGAAGGAGTTGGGTGTTCAACAAGGTGGAGTTCAGTTGCTTTGTGATAATCAAAGTGCTATTCACTTGACTAAGAATCAGGTGTATCGTGCTAGAACTAAACATATTGATGTAAGGTTCCACAAGATCAGAGAGTTGGTTGCATCTGGAGAGGTTTTGTTTCAGAAGGTACATACTGATGAAAATGCCGCTGATATGTTCACTAAGCCAGTTACGACAGACAAGTTCAAGCATTGCTTGGACTTGTTGAATGTTTCGAGTTGTTAAAGAATCAAGGTAACCCAACCCACATTGAATTTTCAAGAGGCAGGATATTCGCCAAGGTGGAGATTTGTTAGGTATGGCTCATAAATATACCAGTAAAGAGGACAGGAGATGGAGCAGAGTGAGCGAAGCGAACATCAACTGTCCTTACAAAGAAAGTCTCGTTGTGGGGTTACGAATTATGTGGGTTAGGGGTGCGGGGGCGCAGCCCCCGCGGTACGGTACAGGGTTAATTTTGTAATTATGTACCAGGGTTTTCTATTATAAATAGAGATGTAACCTAGACCTAAAATATCATTGAATAAAATTCTAGCGCCGCCTAGGCACCGAGGACGTAAGCACATTGCCGAACCTCGTAAAATTCTCGTGTTCTTTCGTTTCCTTTACCCGTTTTCGTCAACATATACAAATTCTTTTGAAAGTTCCATTTTACTCTTTACTTTATTGAAAAATTGAGTCACATACTGGAAATAATTTGAAACAATTTTTTTAAGTGTTTCGAACTTTAATTGAATAAAAAAAATTTTAAGCACAACAGTACCGATACTACAAAAACAATATTGATATTTTTCATGTGGCATCGATGTAGTACCGATGGTAAAAACTTAAAAATACAAAGTAGTACTGGTATTGCTCAAGTTAGTATCGATATTCCTTTGGTTTTAAAATTTTCATAATACAAAATTGATATCAATAATACTATAGTACAAATACTCTAAATTGTAGTACCAATATTGCCCTTATGTTTTTTAGAATGCCAAATTTCATTAAGTATTTTTTGCACTGATTCTCATCAGGTATTGATCCTACTTATAATAGTAGTAATAATACTCCCTTTTAGTAGCATCAATACTCTCTTTTGACAACGATTATATTTTTGTAATTAATGTAGGTAGTATCGATACTCAAAGTGTCTGTGTAGCATTTATTGCGAGAAACTTCATCCCAACAACTATTAATTCTTATAACTATCCAAACGGTTAGAACTAAATTAAAGGTTATACAAATAAGATTTCAACTCATATAAAAAAAAGATTACAAAGAAAACCTAAGGAATCAAATAGAACCAAAAATTCAAGTCAGTATCCTTCAATATTCCTTTTGCATTTAAAGAACACTTTTGTACTCAATTTGTATTTATTTTTCAAGTGTTCTTATTTATTCTAGAACTGTGCAAACTCATTCCTATTGAGGTTTTTCTATTTGTAAATTTGTATTTTTCTCTTTGAGAGACTGTCTCAATAATTCGAACTATAATTTTTTAGATATTGTAAGGTTACATCTTATCCTCAAAGGTTGCTAAAAAATAGTAAATTTGTAAAAACCCTTAGCGTGAATAGCTAAGATGGTTGAGGAAGACTTTAGTTTAGAAAATCGAATAACTCTAAATTCTTATGTTCATTATTTTTCATTTTTTGTTTAAGTTTCTACCAAAATTTTTATTTGTCAATTTACTCTCTCTTAACTGTTTTTTTTTAATTCGATTGACTCAACAAATACTCTCTTTAATTTTCTATTGAGATCATTCAATATATGAATATTAACACTCCATTATAACTATTTAAATTAAATATAAATTTTATATTTTAAGAGCACTTATTTTAATATTAAAAAATATAAACATATATTAAAATAAAAGTTTTGAAAAAAAAGTAAATAAAAATTATCAAATATTTTTAGATGAAATCCAGTAAAAATTTTAGGAAATCTAATAGTAATAATTTTTAGATTTTCTTTTAAATTTTAATTTTTTTTATTGGAATCCAATGATGATCAATGGAAAATCCAACAAGTTAAAGGAAGTGTACAAAGCACCATGAATTTAGTGCAGCACATATAAAGTTTAAACTTGTTCCAAACCATCACTATTATTTAATAAAAGCAAATAAGTGCGTTAATTAACAAACAAAACCCACCATTCCGTTAATCATTCACCCACCGTCTTATTCGACACCACCGGAAAAAGGCAGAAGAACGAGAGATCATATATTAAGAGAAGTCGACGAAAAGTTCTAAACAGAGATTTCTGGTGGGGGGGGGGAGGGGAACACATGGACGTATGCAGTATTGTTCTAGGTCCCGTCTGGATTTCAGTAGGGTTTTTGAATGAGAAAGGACATGCACTGAGCTTGGTGCTTATTGTCAAACGCCAGGCAGCGGATATAAGCATTGGGGTATGCCTTTTTACATTCATAGATTTCTTTCAGCACTTGAGATGAGTCGCTGCACCCGAACATCGGCAGCTTCCACAGCGTCCAATATCTCCCGTCGTAGTATCCTGGAATCCTACTGTTCTCCCTGTGGACAGCCCCCACCTACAGGAGAAGTCACCACTTAAATTGTTAGATAGGAGCACTAAGAAGTAGGGATATAAATTAATGAATATTCGTTAACGGTCAATATAAGATTTGTTTATGTTTGTTAAGTTAAATAAATGAGTATAAACAAAATTTTATGTTTATGGTTGTTGTTTACCTCATCAAATTCAAGACAAGGGATCCAGCCATTCTTCATCATGTAATCGACTTCCTTTGCGATGGAGTCATCGGAGAGAGGTGGAAGGTAAGAGAGCGTCTCGAACTTCTTGTTGTTGATCGGATTCCATGTCTGTAAAAACTCACAAAACAAAACATGTTATGGAAGCCACAATATCGTCAAAAATTGAACTGAAAAACCGATGACAGTACGGTATTACCTTCATGCAGTGGGTTCTTGAACCATTGGAGACAGTTCTGTTGCTCCACGAAACCGAATCCTTAGTCGGAACCAGCTTTGGAACACTGGTTTTCAACCCGACAAAACCAGAACCGGCGACCGGCGAAGCAAAGATCCCTACAGACATATCAGCTAAAGCTTACAAAAAAATAATGGATTGATTGTGAGAGCGAGTGACCTAATATAAATGATGAAGTGATAGGACAAAAGCAGTTGGCTTGGATGCCCGTGAGCTGATGTATGGCTCGTTAAAAGTGAAAGAACAAACGATTTGTTCAAAGACGGTGAAGATGTTTTTAATGTTCCTTGGCTTCGGTTTTATCCATGGCCGTACGTTTGGCAAGCAATGAAAATGGTAAGGAAAGTGCAAACCAATGGACTCCACTGGGGTGTTTTGTCTTTGTTAATAACAAGTGGAAGACATCAACATGTAGAACCGCTCGAAAATCAAGACAATGGGCGACTCATGATTCGTTGGGCGTTTCCCTCGTATGAATATTTAATATCAATTCAACTTGCATCCACAACATTTGATAAATCTATGTACATATTTTATCAATAAAGTGTAGTGTAATACCAACAATAAAGTGAGTTTAGTGGGATGAAACACTAAACTTTTAAGTAAAATCATGAATTTAAATCTTACCATTTACGTATGAAATAAATTGAATTGAGAGTAGTGGCCAAACTAGAAAAATTTTATAGACTAGGCCGATATGAACATAATAAAATTTTTATCCAACCTAATTCATAATTTTTTTATTTAGGGTAAACTAACTAATTAGTCACCCGTCTATTACTTAATTTATATTTTGATCACTCAGCTATTATTTTTTCAAAATCATAGCTAATCTTACATTTTGGTTCTATTTTGATCACTCACCGTTAAAAATTTTAACGATGTTAACATGACATTTTTTAATTATTTTTCAATTATGGTATGACGTTATCTTACGATGACACGCCAATATCACTACTAAATTTTTAAAGATGAGTTACCAAAACATAAATTAAATGTGATTTAAATAAATAATAGTTATATGCCCAAACTAAAAAATAATTAATTAATGAGTGATCAATAAGTAATTTTTCATTTTTTGGGCATTGGGCCCCCTATTGAGAGGATTACCAGCGTATTGTAATAATTTAACCAATAAAATATAGAGCAATAGAAGAAAGTGATACTGATGTTTCATCAGACAATACCACATCATTGAAAAAAATATAAAAATATTACATAATCATTTGAATTTTTTATTTAAACCATATGTATTCTCTATTAAATACATAATTTGTAATCAACTTTTATATTTTAATATTATTTTATAAATATATTATTAAATATTTTTTAATATTATTATCAAACATGTTTAAAAATTTAAACTACTCAAAATTTTTATTTTTAACGTAATGTTTTTTCAACTAATTAATAAACAAGTTCTAAATTGATTTTCGAATATTCTTCAAATACTTTTTACTGAAATATATATATATATATCTTACCTGTTAATTTTTCTTATTTTTCATATATATTAATAATAATTTACTTTTATGTTAATTTGTAATTAATCTTACTTTTATTTTCTCCCACGTTTGAGCCATCTGTATTCATGAATAAGTGAAAACCAAAGTAACCTCCTCCTCCTCCTCCTCCTCCTCCTCCTCCTCCTCCTCCTCCTCCTCCTCCTCCTCCTCCTCCTCGGGCGAAAGAGATTTAAATAGGAATGAATATTTGACCTAACTCAATTGATTTTGATCTAATTCGATGATGTAACGATAAAGTTATTGCTTGTTGTGGTGTAATCAAATATGACAAAGGAGAATAGTTCTTAGGGTTTTCCAGTAATTCAGGGACATGTTCAGTAGCAATGATAAAATTCTGGGAGATTCATGATATCATTCAGCATGTTTTACGAAAGATGTCCAAGGAAGTCATATTTGTAGTACTGACTGAAAATATAAATAATTAAATAAATCGGAACAAAAAAATTGTGTCATAGTAATCTACTGCCTTATTAGCTATTTTGACTTGATGTGCGTAATCGCAACAATAGACAAACGCCCCCTGAGACTAATATAATTCTCTAAAATCTCGTACACCCAAGATGTTGGAGTAGACAAAGGTGACATTGCTCTTCACTCTAAAGAAATCGAAATAACTCTGGAGAAAGAAATGAAAATTTTCTTTTAAAACGAGAGAGAAATTATTTTTGGATGATATGAAAGTGCTGAAAATGATATGTATTTATAGGCTCATTCTCCCAATCAAGAATAGATATTTAGGTGTGAATTAAGCAACCAATTCATCTATTGTAATATTACAACAATTAAGTTGCAGCAAAATAACTATAACAATTGATATAAATAGGAATTAAATCCATAAAATTATGTCATATCAACCAAGAGAATATTATTTGTTTCATTCAAACAAAGAAAAGTATATGTTTCACACATAAATGTGTATATAAATACAGTTAAAAAAATTTATTTCAATTTCTTTAGAAAACGTTTTACATAGAAAGTCTTACAGATTTTCTTCAACAACAAAAAAAGAATACGATCAGAGTATATGTCAAAGACAAGTAATTGGTACGATCCGAACTGATCCAAACTAATTAGATGACAGCGGCGGCGTATGTCCGAGGGAGTTATCATTCCAAATTCAATACAGGAGGGAAAGAGTGGCCCTTTAAATACCTTCTCAAAGCTATACTCCTTCTCAATGTGACATATATATCTTTTCTATAGCATTACTAACATTACCCACTAATGTAGAAATATCCTTTTAAAACAATTTTAAACATGTGAAGAGCAACAACAAGACTAGTCGTTTAAGCAGTAGTGGACTGCCTTGAACTAGTACATAGTGACAATGAGTAATTCTTCTCTTAACTAAGTGAATAAGTCTTGAACTTGTTAAGATAGGAGTAAACTCATGACACACGACTAACCTTATTCATCCACCAAGGTTTGCAATAAATTATATATATATATATATATATATCACAAATCTTCAAGATTCTAGTAAGTGTAATAGAAAAACAATCCAACGTTTTTCATAGAAGGTGGTTAATCCTTCTACTTACGTAGGTTATTTCATTAAATTTATCTCAACATAAATAACTCGAATCCAGACTATAAAATAATTAAGAGCTTTTACAACAGCTCAATCTTAAAATAAATAAGATAAATTTTTTCAAGTTTATTTTAAACAAATCACTCAAATTCTGGTATAAGAAATCATTAAAAATAAATAGTCAACCTCTTTAAACGGTAAATTCAATAAGTCACTCTCAAACGAGATCACTCAAACTCTTAGAATTGAATTCATTAAGAGTTTATTAAAACTAAGTCTTGTACAGTAGTAAGTCCATTTAGTACTTCGCGATAGGACCACACACTCATCAATGAGTTTTGAACTTATATAGAGTAAATATTTAACCAAAATTTGTAAATTCATCAAATTTTCTCACTAAGACCATCCAAATCTTGAGTTATGAATTTATTAAGAGAAAAAATAATTTAACCTTGTGCATGTACATTATTCGTTATGAGGATAAATAATTGTGTGCACTATGATTATTTTCATGGTTTCGTTTGCCACATTAAACTTACATAACTAAGTTGGGTGTCCACCATGAATTTCTCAACCAATGAACATTAAGCCCATCCCCTCTACTTCACGTACTCTAAAGAAGGTAGTTCATTTTTTTGTTAAGTGTTTTATTGGTTCATGCTTATACGGATACGTCTCTTCTAACAATTGTAAGCTTGGCTGTGTGTGTCATTCATTGCCTTTTCAAGTGTTTTATTGATTCATGCTTATACGGATATATATGTCTCTTCTAACAATTGTAAGCTTGGCTATGTGTCACACATATAGCAGCCTATGAATCAAGCATTGATATTACGTCAACTCTAGTGGGTAGTAGGAAGCATAGGACTGGAACTGGACGATGGGTGAGACAAAGAGGGTTTGTTGTTGATGTTGGAGTTAATATCATCATCTACGAGAATACTGTGTCCGCCAGCAGCTTGGTTTTCTGGGTTTCGATTGGAGTCTGGCTGTTCAACTCATCCTAACTGAAGATACTAATTTTTTACCCATATTATTATTATTATTATTATTATTATTATTATTATTATTATTATTATTATCATTATTATTATTATTAAATATATATTAAATACATATATAAATAATTAATTACAGGCCCAATTACAACTGGACCGGCCCAGTTACAAACAAACCAGAACCGGTCCAGACCAACCAAAAACCCTAAACATTTGGGGGGTTTCAGTTAGGGTTTCCTAACCCTAATCTAGCCAGCCGCCTCAGACTGACCGTTGGATCTGGCACGATCCAACGGTCCAGATTGCTCCAGATGGAAACCCTAGGGTCTGATACCCTAGGGACACGTGGCCGCCGCTGCTACTCTCGCCGCCTCCGCCGCTGCCACGTCCCAACCGAAGGCTCCAGAAGCTCCAACGCCAGCCGTCCACGCCATGGCTACGGGGTGAGTCACCACTGGTAGTCCGGTGACTCACCGAGACCCCCTCTTCGGACCGGTTCGATGGCCACACCGGTGGTGGCTATAAAGCCACCACCCGAACCTGGAAAAAAAAAAAAAAAGGAGGAGAAGACAGAAAACATATCCCAGAGACAAAACCGAAAAAATTATATACAAAATACTACCAACGATCTCAGCAGCAAAGAAACAAAAAAGAAGAAAAAGGAAGAAGAGAACTTACCGAGGAAGCCCCGACCACCGGATCTCACCGGAACCTTCGAAACACCGAAGGTACTTTTGTAGATTCGCTCCGATTGGGAGCTTTTTAGGAGAAAATAACACCGGAACCGTCCTTAGGACGGTCCGATCTATCTATTAGTGTAAAAATAAATTTTTCCGGCCACCGGATGCGGTGGCCGGCGGTGACAGTCACGGCGGCACACGGTTGCCGTCCGGTTACCGGCTTCCCTCCGATAAGGGAAGCTAGAGAGAGGGCAGAGAGAAATTTGTTCTCTCTGTTAGAGAGAGAACAGAGAAAAGGAAATGAGAAGCTGGCCCGAAGGGCCAGCCGGTTTAGGTTATAAATACCCTCTCCCGAACGACGTCGTTTTGGGGAGGGTATTTCTGTAATTTCACAAAGGGTAACCCCGTCCGAAGCCATTCCAATTTGTAATTTTACATTCTAGTCACTAAATCGATTTTATAATACTTTAATTCAGATCTTTAATTTTAATTTCTTTTATTTTAGTCCTTTATATTAAAATAATATATTTAGGATAAATAACAGATTTAAT